GAACTCACGACCTTGCGCTTGCCAGGCAGGCACTTTTGCCGCTGAGCTAAATCCCCAGCCCCTGAACTTCTTGATAGAGGGTAAAACATCATCTCTACCTTTCAGGAATTTCATAGTCAAAATAAAGTTACTCATTTTGAAACTCATAATTTAAAACACAGCTCAACAAATTTAGGCAAATATGGCTGCAATACAGTATTTTATTACTACTGAAGTATTCTATAAAGTTATAACTTTATAGAATATAAGCAAGAGTCTTAGCATTGTATTACTTTTTGTTCATTGTAAATAACTATTCTTCTTATCTCTGTTTTCATGTTAGTGACGTTTGGACTATTTAAAAATTAACCACAAGCAAAACTAATATTAGTACATTTTTAGGGCATCCTTTTTTAACTTTGAAGTTGGCGCAGTCACCTTATTCATTGCTTGTTAGGATAGCAAGGAGACACTTGGTTCATAGTTACCTCTATTGGCTTAAATACTGTGGCAAATTATTTTCCTGGCACTCAAGGTTGAATACTAGTGTACTACTGGTAGTCATACCTTGTTTTGTTTTTCCTGTATGCAAAATTAGGTATATGGAGTTAGGAGAAAGGCCTTTTAAAAAGGGAGTACCTTCATAAGAAAATTTGTCCAATTTCTTAAGATTGAAAATACTGAGACAGAAAACAAATATATTTTGTTTTATAAATGTTTTTGCAACTGTAATAACAATTACAGCTATCTATAGTCACTTAAGAGTAATAAAATAATATCCCATCAGATTTTTGAAGCAAAAAAGGCAATCTAAAAGTTATTTGTTTAAAGTGGTGTGTTTGTTTTCTAGGATAAAGAAAAGCTATCCAGGACATTTTTAGGACAATTGGGGTAACATGATATGGACTGTAGTGTTAGGAACCACTAGTTCTGTTAAATACTAAAATACTGTTGTAGTTATGTAGTAGAATGCCATTTGGAAATTGATGCTGAAGAATTTAGATCTGAAGTGTTACGATGTAATACTCTTTAAAGTGGTTTAGCCAAAAAAAATGCAAAGAAGAAAATATTGCAAAATGTCATCAGTTGTTAATCTACATAGTGTCTATATGTATTCTTGTTGTTCTGTGGTTTTTGGTACTCTGTATGTTGGAAATTTTTCATAGTAAAAATTTAAAAAGAAAAAAGTACCTGTTCCATATTAGAGCAATGAGGTAACAAATGTAGAGCTCTTCTTTCAGTTTCTGTCCCATAATAACTGCGCAGTAAATGTTCAATACTATTTATAGCAATAAGTTTTGGGCATTTTTAGTGTTTATACACAGATATCTCCCATTATAAACTAATTTCAGGTTGAGGGAGAAAATAAAGTTAGTGGAAAACACCAGTTTAGTGGGAAAACATCAATTTCTATAGTGTTAGGATAATTATAAAGTCTGTAAGAGCTTTGTCTCTGTCATTTCTTTAATATATCTGAAGTATGAAACGTTATTAATTTCCACATCACTATGAATTCATTTGTTACCTCATACATTAATTTGTATATGAGTAGATTTTGTATTTATCTGAAGTTGATCTTTAAATTTTGCCTTAATATATTTCTGAGGACTGCATTTAGAAATTGTCATTGTGGGGCAAATTTTTCTCAAGGAATAGTCCTATCATTGAGATTTATTTTCCTGGTCCAGGATTGTAAACCAAAGTAATTGTAAAAGTAGCCCATTGTAAACTGTCAAACGTGCTCCAACAATTACAGATATCTGTAGTCACTTAAGAGTAATAAAATAATACCCCAAGTCAGATTTTTGAAGCAAAAAAGGCAATCTTAAGGTTATTTGTTTAAAGTGATACACAATATGTTAGTGGCAGATCCACTAATAAAACTGTTTTAGTAAATTCTGCAGGCCTAGCGGCGTAGCTCAGTGGCAGAGGGCTTGCCTAGCATATGTCCTGGGTTCAGTCGCCCACATCAGAGGGGTAGTGGAAAAGTCTGTTGAATACACATAAAGTGAGTCTTGTTTTTTTCTGTACCAGAAGTTGAACTGAGGACCTTGCACTTGCCAGGTAGGCACTGTGCCATGAAGCTATATCCCTGGCCCTACATAAACATATATAGATGATATAAGGAGCAATTTTATGAAGTGTACCTTTGGCATTACTAATAGTCATAAATAGACTTCTTTAAATAATTTAATTTGTCATAATTATTTTTATCTCATTGGAATTAGAAAGTACATTTTGAGAGTGCTTTATTTGGACAGTGCATTTCTTTAACATGTTATGCGGGGCCCTCCTTGCCCAGGCCAGAGCTGTGCCATGGCAGAGACTGGGGAAGAGGAGATGATGTCAGCAGAAGCCTCAGGATTCTCAGACATGAGTGACTCAGAGTTCCTAGAGATTTTGGACCTGGAAGAGGCTAATGAGTTAGGTGCTTCACTTAGCAAGCCTGGCCCTTCTTCTGAACTTTCCAGGAAGGATGACAAGCCTATAAGCTTGCCAAACTGGAAAAGAAGATTGGATATCTTGTCGCCTATGGAAAGATTTCACCTAAAATATTTATATGTCACTGACCTGTCTACTCAGAACTGGTGTGAATTGCAAATGGTATATGGGAAGGAGCTTCCTGGGTTTTTGACACCTGAGAAGGCAGATGTTTTGGACACTGGTGCCAGCATTCATCTAGCTAGAGAACTAGAACTTCATGACCTTGTGACTATCCCCATCACTAATAAAGAAGATGCTTGGGCAGTTAAATTTCTGAATATACTGACAATGATTCCTACCCTGCAGTCAGAAGGGTGCCTTAGAGAATTTCCAGTGTTTGGGGAAGTAGAGGGTGTGTTTCTTGTTGGTGTGATTGATGAGTTGCAGTATACAGCCAAAGGAGAACTGGAACTGACTGAACTGAAGACACGGAAGCGCCCTTTGCTCCCTCTGGACGCTCAGAAAAAGAAAGACTGTTTTCAAGTAAGCCTGTATAAGTGTATCTTTGATGCCATGGTGCAAGGGAAAGTGACCCCTGCTAGCCTAATCCACCACACGAAATTATGTCCCGACAAGCCACTGGGGCCTTCTGTGCAGAGGCATGCCCAGCAGGGAGGTTTCTCTGTGAAGTCCTTGGGTGACCTCATAGAACTGGTCTTCTTGTCTCTCACATTGTCTGACCTCCCAGTTATTGATACCCTAAAAATCGAATATATTCACCAAGAGACTGCCACTGTGCTGGGTACAGAGATTGTAGCCTTTGACGAGAAGGAGGTGAGAGGCAAGGTACAGCATTATACTGCCTATTGGATGGGCCACCGAGAGCCTCAAGGGGTTGACATGGAAGAGGCTTGGAAGTGTCGGACATGCAGCTATACAGACATCTGTGAGTGGAAGAAGGGTGGTGGAGTGCTCAGCTCCACACTGGAGCCTCAAGCCAAAAAGGCCAAATAAACAGAAGTTACGTTTTCAGGAATTTTTATCTTTCCTGCTCCTAATGTACCCGAGTTAAAAAAGGACCAGTCTCTGAACTTGGCTTTCATGGATATGTTCTTAGTTTTTATATTCTATGTTGTCTAATCCATTCAAATCTAGGATCCAAGGCTCAGGGATGAATGGGAAAGAGCAGGGGGTTATAATGTCCCTAGAGCTGTGACATGGGTTATCAAGAAGATGAGTGCCCGTCATGGCTGGAGCAGAGGTATCCTGCGGCAAATGTTTTCCTAAGAAAATTCTTGTGATTCTGATAAATCTTTTATTTTTTTCATAATCAAGACTTTGTACATTTTATAGAATAAAATGAAATGCTGTCCAGGACAGTTGAACTGATGTTGGTTCATCTGGTTTTTCATGATCTTAATCTTTCCAAAGTGACAACTATTGTTATGGTTTATTCCTAAAATGTCTCCCAAAACCTCATGCAGTCATATGTGGGGCTTTGGGGAGGTGACTGGTTCAAGGGTGTGTGACACTGGACTAGTTCACTGATGGGTTTATAGCTGGGTGTGATGCTGGGAGGTATAGAACAAGACATATGAACAAAAATAAACTTTCTAGCACTTTCATCATGGCAAAAAGCTATAAACTACGCAGGATGCCCACTGCTAGACAAATGTTGGTATGGTACAGAAACCAAATGAAGTACAGTGTGACATGCAGCAATATGCCCGAATTTTACCAACACATTAGATAAAGTCTCAAAAGATTTATATAGCATATATCTTTTTATAAATTGAAAGATAGCTAAAAACTTTTACAGAAAATTGAAAGACACTGGGGAGAAATCTGCATCTCAGAAAGCAGTGGAACCCTTAGCTACAGACACCAACAAAGAAGCACTTCGTACTCTGCACATTATCCTGCAGTCTGTCCTTCATGTTGGGGACCCATGAGAGTAGTATTTCTTGCAGGCAAGAAGCAGTGGGGCAGATAGAAGGAGTGTCTGAGTTATGATTTCTGAAAGGATTTCAAACATCTTTATTCTGCTCTGGGACTTGTGCCAGGTTTCCCTCTGGGGTTCATCCAGGGGAATTTTCATGGGCAATTTTTATGAAAGAAGGCTCTGTCCTTTGGTGCACAGTCAGATCAGGAGAAGCCACTTCACCTTCTGTTTTCAAAAAGGAGACTGGTCAGTTTGTTTTATCTTATTGAGGCAGCCAAGCCTCACTAGCACCATTGGCCCTAAATAATCTGTGCTTCTCTTGAGAAAGAAATAAAGAAGCTTGTCACAGAAGGTATCCAAAGTCCACCTAGTTGTTTTCTGCTTGGCAATAGATGGGTTGGAGACCCCACTGAGAAAATGCCCTTAGGCCAGAGCTAACATGATAACATGCCAATAAAAACCTCATTCTTAGGGCTGTGGGGAGGACTGAGATCTAATAATGACTGGGAAGGACTTAGCACAGTGGCCACCACAATCCCGAGCAGTGCGTGGCAGAGGTTCTGATGGGCAGTTCTGCTGCATGGCTGCATGTGGCAGCTCAGGGCTCGCTCCTAAAGGCAGATAATCTAAGGTTTGACTCCCAGCTCGGCTACTCAGTAGACATAGGATCTAAGGGAAGTTATTTAATCTATGCTTCTGTTTCTCCTCTCTAAAAAAGAAATGAGCGAGGATAGGGCACACCCCATGACGTCATTGTGAACATGAAAAAAAAAATGATACAAACAAAACACTTACAGCAACTGGCCTGGTGTTTGTGTGTAATAAGTGCTATTAGTTCCAGGTAACAAAGGAATCAGGGCATCGGCTGGATTGTGGTCTCTGTGCTCAGTTTTGTTGTTTTTTTTTTCCCAGAACAGTACTATCTTTGTAGGGACAGAAGTTTTTCAAATTCTGCTTAAGGAAGCCAGGGGAAAGTGGCATGACAGGGCCTTATCCCTCCTGTCACACAGCTCCTGTCTGTTTCAAAAGTGGAGATAATTTCAATGTTTAAAAAGTACTCCTATGAGACAATACGTTTTGACACCTCTCATCCTCTCATGCTTGGTTAAGGTCATTAAAAATGAAATAAACCTAAATAACTTTTTTCTTGATTCCTTTTCACTCATTCATTGGCTAATTGTTTTCATTCATTGGCTAATTATTTTCATTCATTAATTTGAATAACTTTTGACCAGGTCCCCAACAGGCCCCCAGGGTACACATTTAAACAAACAACACAGATTCTGGGGACTTGAAGATCACTTTCCAGTGCCAGAGACACACAAGGAAGCAGGCCTTGATATCCCAGTTTTACAAGCCTCATGATGGAGACTGAAAGAAAAGAGAGTCTGAGGTCAGGAGAGATTTCTGGAAGGCATGCTGTATAACTGGAAGCCCAAAAAGCTAGTATGGGAGTTGGGAGCAGTGGGGCCAATTTTGTAGGTGGAGGCCCCAAAGGAAAGAGGGAACATGGCAAATATCAAAATGCAAATTGTCCAACAACTGGGAAGTCAAAAGGTAGGACAGAGGAGAAATAGCACACCCCAAAACCTGTACATCCAAGATGCCTCCCATCATCTATCCCTATGGATGCTTTTTTTGCAGGTTGTAAATTCACTTAATGATTCCGGCCAAAACGCTGGCATCCCAACTTTTCTCCTTCAAGGAGAAATTTCTTGAATGATTCTTGGTATCTTTACCAAAGGATGCTCTTTGCTGCTTGGGGATAATTCACACACTGGGAACTTGCAAGAATGGGTGGAACTCGGGCTGCAGCTGACACAGCTTATTCTTACCTTTCAGAAGAGCTCAGCTCACTCACTCCCCAGAGGGACCGCGTCCTGAATGAAGTCACGAGCTGTGGAAAGGAGGCCTTTGGAAGGCTGTTAACACTAAGCTCTTCCCCAGGCTGGGGCTGGGAAATACGAAATTTACTGGTTGAATTTATGCTTCTCCATGCAGGTGCAACAAGTGTGACTGTTCTCAGATTGTGATCAAAACCATGACTAATTCTCACTTCATACAGCCAATATCCAAGCCAAGAGTCAAAAGGTTCAGTTCTTTGTGTATCCAGGTGAAAAGCAAATGCAGGCTTCCCCTCAGTCGGGATGTATAGGACAGCTACTCTTAGTATATCATTTTAAGATAGAATAATTCTAGTCTTAATGCAAGCCTCCAAATGTGTCTTGAGAAACATCCCGGAGGGGTTGTAAAAAGTTAACTTTGCAGTCCTGACTTTGCCCTGGAATGCTTCTCCAAAGACAGCACCCAGGCCCAGATAACCACTTATGACCGTGCCTGGGTTGTTTCATCCCTTCCCTGGCCCTAGATAAACATTGTAACCATAAAGGAAATGTATGGTTATCTAAAGGGGGACATATAGAACAGAGTATAGAAAGTATATATCATTGTGGTTGGGCTCATGACCAGATCCTGACTTGGTCATGTGGCACAAGGAAGACAATGTGTGGCCAGGGCTACAACTTTCCAGTCTGTTACCATAGAAACCAAAGGTATATTTAAGGTGGAAACAAAGAAGGCCAGCTGCCCACTTTCCTGACCTGCAAGTCAGAAATGAGCAGTGACCAGTCTAAATTTATTTAACAAACTCTGTTGTTCTGAATAGAGTCCTTCGAGCTCTTGTGGGATACAGCCCAATTTTTGCCGTTGCAGGGAGCCCGGGCATGAACTAAAGGTGGAGAGCTGTTATCCTGATGGTGCCGAGGTCATAAAAACTACAATACCAAGAACTAATATACTCTGTGCCAGGTACCATAATAAGCATTTTTCATAAATTGAATCCCCCCATTACAGAAACACTAGCAACAATAATGCTACTGCCCCAATTTTACAAAAACAAAAATGTCCAGAAAAATTATGAGTTGGGAGTTTGCAACACCTAAAAAAATCCTTATGGAAAAATGCTATTATTTTCATTAGAATTAACTAAGTAGACCTCATATTACTCATTACAAATAGGCCCACCCAGAAGCATCTACAGCTTATCTGGACAAACACCTCAAATGAATGACTAAGAACCATGAGAAAATCTACAGTTGTTGGTCAGAATGCATCCAGCCAGGGGGCAGTTGGGAGAGTTTGGGGAAGAGGGACCCCAGAGATCTTGGAGGATATACAGGACATCAATCCAGGTGAAGGAAACAGAAAAAAGCAAAGCAAAGCACAGAAAAGAGTAGAGCCTGTCCAGGAAAGAGTCAGAAGTGGGCTGTTGCTGGCACATTGACCTATATTCCAAGGCAGAGCATCAGGGCCAGGGTAAGTGCCAAAGGCTCTCCCATTACATTATTGAGTAACTCAATAATGCAGCTTGTATAAATTTAGCTTCTGGGCACAATTTCACTTGAAAAAATAGTTCAGTTATTTTCCTTTTTAAAAAAGCACCAAAGGATAGAGAAGGAACAGAAGAAAAAAGAGATGCAGCAAGAATAGTAGTTTGGGAGAAAAGCATAGAAAATTTCAGTCCAGGGTAACAAACCCACAGCACACACAACTCCCTTCTACATGCATAGCAGACATCACTATTAGAGCATCAAAAGCCCCGAGCTTTTCATAAACATCAGATCAGTCACTCTAGCCATCACAGCTAGTGCATCCTAGAGCTGAACAAGAGAGTATTGGCTTTTTTTTTTTTCCACTATAGAGACCTGACATCATATATTTTGGAACCATTGTCCTTAGAAGCTCATTCTTTTCTAGACAACAATTATCATGACAAAGTCACAAATCTACACCCAGGCCCCACCATGTAGGCAGAGCTCATCTCAAAGAAACTTGCATAGATGATGCATGACTTGGGCCAACTGGGTTTCATGCCAGTCAGAATCCTATGCCTCTTTAATGCAAAGGGACTGTGGAACCTTCTCTACCAGTACTATTTTGGGTTTATACTAGTATTTTTTAAACTTCTTGGCCAGGAATGGTGGTGTATACCTGTAATCCTAGCACTTGGGAAGCTGAGGCAGGAGGGTCACTGAGTTTGAGGCTAGCCTGGGCTACATAGTGAGTTCAAGGCCAGCCTGAATTACTGTTATGGTTTGTGTGTGAATGTCTCCCTAAAACCTCATGCAGTCATGGGGCAGGCTTCTAGAGTTTATGATTGATTCGTGATCCAGTGTTGGAATTATGGATGTGAGTGTTACACCCACCCTGGGGTGGGTAGTTTGCATACAATGTACGGGAGGGAAAGAGGCTGCTTGCTGCTGCCCCTTCTCCCTTTTGCTCTGGTTGCCTTTGCTGTTTTCTGCCGCCATGAACGTTTGCCCTCTGCCATGTGCCACTCTGCCTTGGAGCTAGCCAAGTATGGACTGAAACCTCCACAAACTGTGAGCTAAGTAAAACCTTTCCTTTCTTAATTTTAGGCATCAGGTATTTTGTCTCAGCAGTGAGA